TAAAAAGTGTACCTACATAGTTTAAAGTGTAGCATAAGCTTACCTCAGAGTCAGGAAAAACAGCAATTTTCTTTCGTTTGATAGCTGGTGGAGTAGTATCCTCGGCAAGCTTTATCGTATCGCTGTCGGAATCTGATTCCCCAGCAAATGGATTTTTCACAGGCAGAACTTTTTTCTTTTGAGACTTTTTAGCCCGCTTCACTGGTTCAGCTTTCTTCTTAGAACTGCTATTAGCGGCAGTTGAAGGTTGGAGCGAATCCTCTTCATGCAACCAAAACGGATTGTCAATCTGAGCCCTGAAAAGTAATTCATATAATATTATCACACCTGTTTACAGCGATGCATGTATGTATAAAGAAACTAGCTGTTTCTCACGAATTCACTGAACCCTAAAAAAATTTAATTATATATTGAACCTATGAATTGTCTTAGCATGATTTGGAAATCGAGACCAAAACCTCTCGCTCAGTAGATCTACTTACGAGCACTGGTCAAATGAGTAATGATAAAAGTGTTAATAAATATTGAATTATTGTAGGCGGTCAAAGGAAAATAGTCAAGATTTTATGATGGGGACTTTTAGAAAATATAGTTAAGTATAATAAATAAGTACTTACATACTTTACTGTTGTAGAATTCCGTCACAAAAGAAAAAAAAAAACGTAGGAAAACTTGTGACACTAACGAACACAGCTCAAATTAAGTATTCAAACTTACGTGTAAGAAAGTAAAGTAAAGCACATTCATCGAGTGCATACTTTTATAAACCTTAAAAATAAAGACGTGTTCATATACGAACTCCTTGCAACAAATTATAGCAAAAAAAATTACAATAAAAAAATATTTATGATATTTGGTCCCTATGACAGTAGTACTTAGAGCATACTTTAAATTGAACAAATTTCTTTTACTAGCATCAGGTATGAATGCATCCTAATGATGCACATATGGAATATGTCTGCTCATCATATTAACCATAATAGCTTTTCACCAAGCAATTGGAGATGAAAATCGTAAAAGGAATAAGAGCTCAATTAACGGCGGTCATAACAAGAAACTTTCTTATAACCAATTATATGAGACCTCATTTATGTATGCACGAACTGATACGCTTTTTTAATATTAAACCAACATTAGTACAAGAGTGTTTACGCTGAAAATGCGACCTCATTGCGTGGTCATAAGGTGGTTAATCCTTTTAACAATTTTTCGACTTGGTCTCTTTTATTGTGATGAGTTGATTAAAAATAAAACCAAATTGTGTACACAGTACCAGGGAAATAAGTTTATTAAAAATGTTTAAAGTAACAACATAATCCTAATTTATTTTTAAAGCTAATATACATAGGTATGGTATAGTAAGTATATTAACTACATAATTTTAGCTACTGTTGTTATTGAATATATTTATTGCACAATTTTATTTATTTTTTTTAATTATAAAATGATTACAATTTTAATACTATTTATGTAATATTTAACAATATAATTAGAGACAAGTGGAAGGAGGGAAGGGAGGTCTTTGTCCTGCAGTGGGACACTATAAGCTAATATAATAATGATAGTATAATAACAATATAATAATTATGATTATACACATAAACAAAGATAATTTAAACTTAACTAAAAAGAATGTTACATAGTCATGAAAGTCTGAATATAAATATACAATTTTATTGAATTTTTTCTTGAATTTTTCCAATTATATTTTCTAAAGCGAAGTATATATCATCACAATTAATATCTTTTATTACATATTGTACGCACTTGTTCGCCCTGCACTCGCAAGCCTTTATAGGCTGGTTATCAGCCTCGTAAATTTCAATTTTTATCGTCCTTGATGATGCAGATATATTTTGAGCCCTTGTTTTAGTATAGGAGTATACTTGAACTCGTTGACGCTTTTGTGGAGCTGATGATGTCCCACGTTTTCTCTTTAAATTGAGTTTAGATGACTCGCCTGCGTTTGGTTCCTTTGGCGGGTATGGGATAAAATTAAAAAGGTCATCAGAGTCCTGGAACAAAAAATAAAAAACTAAGTATACACGTAATAAAAAATTAAATATTATTAATAAAGAACAGAAAAAAAATACTCACCGACATTTTATGTAATTATCCCAAACAAACACTCACAGTAATTGTTGCCAATTAAATATACTTTTTAATTTATTGCAGTCATATATATGAACAAGTTCTAAAACTCTAATGATACAATTTAAACTGTATGTGTTGAAAGCATAGAGTTCAATTTGATAATATGTAGCATGCATAACGAGCACACATCTTTTTTTTTTCCTAATTTAGAAAACGGCGCCACAGCGTCGCGGATACCTGAGATGAAATTCTAAAAAGGAAGTTGTATGTACCAAGTCTTAGCCTAGTAGTATGAACCTTACAACGTTTATTCTTTATGTTAACTTATAAAAGGAAAGAAAGGATTTCATACAGTCTTTATTACATGGGACAAAAGCATAGCGGTCTACTCCTTTCGGGCTTCGGCAAATACAACTGAGATGCAATGTTTTATGTATACTTAACAAAGGCATGATAATAAACATGCTCACAAGTGTTATAATGCAAGTATAATGAATGTCTTAACAGGTCGTATTTCTCTATGCTACATCGTAAGTTTAGATTTAGACGATCAATCTCTTACATATTACAATGCAACAGATGCAAAACAATACATCACGATACTAGGAAGTCGGATTCCCGCTGAATGAACAGTTGCGAATCGAACGCAATCCTTATTCGACTGTATTGTTATTGAATACGATATGCACATTACGATCTGCCTAAGCAGTAGAATTGGGGCGTTTTGCATCACGCAGCTCGAGCGCAGCGAGAGCAAGTGATGCAGAACCCCCAATTATACCCTACTGGCGTGCACAGATTTTCGAGACAGGGTAGGCAACTAAATATCGTATGATTAAAGCCCTCCCCCCTGGTCATACAATCATACTCCCACAAGACAGGTACATGTACAGAATACATTTTGAAAAGTGCGTTCAATAATATTGTGGTTTATTCTTTCGCCAAATTACATACACTGACATCTCGCGTATTTTTTGTAAAGTACTTCATCAGCTATCGAATAAGCCAACAAAACTTACAAATAATGAAGCATCTATTTATTATACTAATAATGAAGCATAAATTTGATGAACCAAATTCAATTATCAAATTGCTAAATAATCTATTTAAAATCATAATTACGAATTTAAGAACGTAGATACCTACCAACAAACAAAACAACAACAAGCGCGGCCGGCTGTGGCCGAGCCGAGTATAAGCGGTACATTTGTTATTACATTACATAATTATTAATAATAAATTAATATGTAAATCAAAACAACCCGAGGTATAAGTTGATATTTTTAAGAATTATCAATCAATAAACAAGAACATCATATAAAAGATCCATTATAGTACCTACATATTTACATTACCTACCTTTGACTTGGGTCAATTCTCGTAACTTGAGTTCTGCCTATGGTCATTACCTGAATCTAGTCGTTATAGGACACATTTTTGCGAAAACTTACTGTTTTTAACTTTAAACAAACACAAAAATTACCTATTATCAACACAAACTTCACAATCGAATAATATACTAGACATTGATAAACAAATACACTATTTGAAAAACCGACACATATATTTTAATACTTCTACACATATTTATGCAACTTTATGTTTAAAACTAATTCCTTATATATATTTAAACGAAAACATAAACAAAGCGATCGCACATCTCATGAAAACAATATGGCCGAAAACATTTTAAAGTCATTACCCATCGTAGTCAATTGAGTGTTTATTATAAAAAAATTATAGCTAAAACATTAAAGCAACCCAGTGTTTAATTATAAAAAAACAAAACGTTAATTTACATAAGTCAAATGGAATTGCATCATTGTCTTATTATTATTTTCCAATAAGAAACATTGGTTGATAATAATTTGAAACTTTGAGTAGCGGCAACTTGACGTTTCGATAACTTCCTTTTAACTTTTAAAATAATAAAGTCAACTCCTCGTTTAAAGTTTCTATAAAGCGACAACGCGTAAAAATGTTAAGATTTAATTAAAACACCTGAAACATATTTTTTTAGTATGCATAATTATAAAAAGACATTCGCATTATATTTATTCAGAAGTTTTAACAAAAAATTCAATAGATGGCGCAGATTCACAAATTTAAAGTCCGGCTAGATTGAATCGTGTAATAATTTTTTGCATTTATGAATGGTTATTCTGTGCTGTGACCATAGTCACGTGACCTTCACGCATGCGCGTTGCATACTTTTTGTGACGTCACAACCAACAACCAAGATTTAAGGAATAGCAGCGCATGCGTGGTGCGTGCGGCGCGCATTCATTGCTTTACAAAGGCGTGCGGTCCGTGTATAGTATAATATGTGAATGTATATTTATGTTAGCCGTTTTTTTACAAACTTTTATTATATTATTAAATCTTAATAAACGCGTTAGTACATTTTATGTCAAGCAAAGCCTATTTGCCTATATGGACTGCACGCCACTGTTATTTCCAATGTTTAGAGACTACTTTTGTATGACCAAATTTAGGGGATGGATTTCAACGGGTTAAAGCGCTGCCTCCTCTGCACCCAGCCATCGCGAAGGACACACCGGGCGTCGGGGATCGCGGGACGATCTCCGACCACCGTAAGCGCCGTCCCCCCGTCCGACCAGAAACAGACCCGAGCGTACGGCGCCGAGCGTGTCGCATGCGCCTCAAAGAGCCATCAGACCACCACAGATGGGGCCCAATAGGGCCGATGCCGATTCGGAGTCGCGGAGAACCTAACGGGTAACCGGGGCTCCGGCTCGACGTGCAGGAGAAGGAACGGGGTGGTTTTTAGTCAGTAAGAGTCTGACACTCCCTTCCGCTTCACCCAGGCGGGAGCAGTCATTCGATGATTTTCCCCCCTTAAAAAAAAAAAATGTAGTAAGAAATACATGTATGTATGTACGAACCTACAAACGAACTGCCCAACGCCCTTCTCATCACAATTATAGTTGAGTTCATGTCCCTCTCTCTCGAAGTATCCTCTGAGGGTCTTCTTAGGATCCTCCAGGTATAGTTCCTCGTTGGCTGTGACCGCATAAGGATTGTCTGCTAGGTCCGGCTCCTCTTCAGCATCTTCCCCTGTGGGTTAAGAGAGAGAAATATAAAAACTAGTTTTCGAAACCCATAATAAAATAGACATGATTTTTTTAAGGGGGGAAAATCATCGAATGGCTGCTCCCGCCTGGGTGAGGCGGGAGGGAGTGTGAGCCTCTTACTGATTAAATACCACCCCGTTCCTACTCCTGCACTTGAAGCCGGAGCCCCGGTAACCCGTTAAGTTCTCCGCGGCCCCGTGTCGGCATAAAATAGACATGATAACATCATTTTTTTATGTCCGTCTGGTAGATTATTTCGGTAAACGAGCAGACGGATCACCTGATGGTAAGCAATCGGCGTCGCCCAAGGATACCTGGAACTCCAGAGGCGTTACAAGTGCGTTACCGGCCTTTTGGGGATTAGGAGTTTGAGGATCGTTGGGGATTCAGGGATTGGGAAGGTAGGGAAAGGGGAGGGTAATTGGGCCTCCGGTAACCTCACTCATACGACGAAACACAACGCAAGCGTTGCTTCACGTCGGTTTTCTGTTCGGCGGTGGTAACACTCTAGTCGAGCTGGCCCATTCGTGCCGAAGCATGGCTCTCCCACACTGGATATTTTTAAGTAATATGTGTCTCTAAGTCGTTAGCAATAAGGTCCATATTTCAACAACAATTGTAAATTGTAACTCACCCATCCCCCAATCGATGCCCATCTCATCTCTCCGTCGCTCCTCCTCCTTTCGCTCCCGCTCTCTCTGTTCTATAGCATCCTGTATCATTCTGTCTCGTTCTTCCTTCATAGTATTGGCTCGCTGCTTTATTTCCGTTACACTCAATTCTGATTCGCCTTCTGTGTCGAAGTCTGGACCCTGAAAGAGTATTCGGGCGTAAAATAACATTAAATTACTGTATAAGTAAGTAAATTGTAACACAGAAGTGGATTATTCCTACAGAGCGACTTAGGCAATGACCTCATAGGATCCCCTAATATATGAAAAGATTAATGACTGTAGATGAACCGAAAGAGGTATTTAAGAATCGTAGCCATTGGCGTTCCATAGTCTCTGCCTACCCCCATGGGAGACAGGCGTGAAGTTATGTGTGTATGTATGGTGTAAAAGGCCACCTTTGAAGGGCGTGAACCAATTGCCATACATCTTGCATAGACTACATGTTATTACTAATCGTATTTCGTCAAACTAGTGTTTTGTCCGACCCGGGAAATGAACCCAAGAAAGTAAGCCCTCTTCGACCATACACATATATTTATAGCATAAGCCGGTAAACGAGCCGACGGATCACCTGATGATAAGCGTGGGCGACGCAATCGACGCCGATTGCGTCGCCCATGGACACACACGCAACACCAGAGGCGTTACAAGTGCCTTACTGGCCTTTTGGGGATTAGGAAATTGAGGACTGTTGGGGATTCAGGGATTGGGGAAAGGGGGGGAGTAATTGGGCCTCCGGCCTCCTTCCACGACGAAACACAACGCAAGCGTTGCTTCACGTCGGTTTTCTGTGAGGCCGTGGTATCCGGTCGAGCCGGCCCATTCGTGCCGAAGCATGGCTCTCTCACACTTAATCTGTCAAACACCAAGCGGTCACCGGTGACCGCGACCTATTGTTCTTTAATTGTGTCTATAAAACCGGTACTCGACGAGTTAAATGTATAAACTTACCAACAAAATATAAGTCCGAGTGCTATTCCCAAACTTGATCTGATGTCCGACCCTGACTCTGGTGTAGTGGCTGACCTTCACCCTGTCTTTATTGAGGAAGGTGCCGTGTGTACTGCCCAGGTCATACAGGTACCAGCCACAGGGAGGCTCGCCTTCTTCGGCGAACGCTTTGTATTGGAGGACGCAGTGGTATCTGAGGAGTACAGTTTATTGAATATTGTTTTAATATTGTCTGTCGTATCTGTCGTGTCGGTTGTATTTGTCGTGTTGGTCGCATCTGTCGTGTCGGTCGGATTTGTCGTATCGGTCGTGTCTGTCGTGTCGGTCGGATTTGTCGTATCGGTCGGATTTGTCGTGTCGGTCGCATTTGTCGTGTCGGTCGGATTTGTCGTATCTGTCGCATCTGTCGTGTTGGTCGGATTTGTCGTATCGGTCGCATCTGTCGTGTCGGTCGGATTTGTCGTGTCGGTCGGATTTGTCGTATCGGTCGGATTTGTCGTGTCGGTCGTATTTGTCGTATCGGTCGGATTTGTCGTGACGGTCGTATTTGTCGTGTCGGTCGGATTTGTCGTGTCGGTCGTATTTGTCGTGTCGGTCAGATTTGTCGTGTCGGTCGTATTTGTCGTGTCGGTCAGATTTGCCGTGTCGGTCGTATTTGTCGTGTCGGTCGTATTTGTCGTTGGTTGTACTTGTCGTGTCAGCCGCGTTGGTTGTATTTGTCGTATCAGCCGCGTTGGTCGTATTTGTCGTTGGTCGTATTTGTCGTAGGTCGTATTTGTCGTAGGTTGTATTTGTCGTGTCAGTCACATCTATCGTATCAGCCGCGTTGGTCGTATTTGTCGTTGGTCGTATTTGTCGTTGGTCGTATTTGTCGTTGGTCGTATTTGTCGTTGGTCGTATTTGTCGTGTCAGTCACATCTGTCGTGTCAGCCGCGTTGGTCGTATTTGTCGTTGATTGTATTTGTCGTTGGTTGTATTTGTCGTGTCAGTCACATCTGTCGTATCAGCCGCGTTGGTCGTATTTGTCGTTGGTTTTATTTGTCGTGTCAGCCGCGTTGATCGTATTTGTCGTTGGTTGTATTTGTCGTGTCAGTCACATCTGTCGTGTCAAACGCGTTGGTCGTGTTTGTCGTGGGTTGTATTTGTCGTGTCAACCGCGTTGGTCGTATTTGTCGTTGGTTGTATTTGTCGTGTCGGTCGCATCTCTAGTGTCAGTCGCATTGGTCGTATTTGTCGTTGGTCGTATTTGTCGTGTCAGTCACATCTGTCGTGTCAACCGCGTTGGTCGTATTTGTCGTTGGTTGTATTTGTCGTTGGTTGTATTTGTCGCGTCGGTCGCATCTCTAGTGTCAGTCGCATTGGTCGTATTTGTCGTTGGTCGTATTTGTCGTGTCAGTCACATCTGTCGTGTCAACCGCGTTGGTCGTATTTGTCGTTGGTTGTATTTGTCGTTGGTTGTATTTGTCGCGTCGGTCGCATCTCTAGTGTCAGTCGCATTGGTCGTATTTGTCGTCTGTCGCATTTGTTGTATCGTTCGTGTAGGTAACTGTACAAACTATACTATGCAATTTATTACACCTTAAAACTACTTACATCTTAAAACTAAACTTAAAAAACAACACAATTACATTTACATACGTATTTACATTTTGTACGGAATACATAATACTCCCTTACCAAATAAAAAATTCCATAGATAGTCGATAATTGTAAAACTATCGACTGAACCCTAATTACCAATATAGTTATAACTATCGATAGCCACCGATGATCGCTTACCGATGCGCATGCGCATACCTGTCGAACCAGTCTTGCGGAGATATTGCTACGACGCGCATACATAGTTCTTTTACTTGCTTAACGCCGTAATAACTAGGCTATTTCTATCGCAAATATCTTCTATTTATTCCTTATTACTTCTAATACTGACTGCCTTCTCGCTATCTCTGTGCTGTGCTTATTTATGTGCTTGTGACTTTCCTACTGTGCCTTCTGTACTACACGTGTGTCGGATTTATTGAATAAACTTGGTGATAGGTGTGGCGGATTTTTATTTACACTATGAAATACCCGACACCATCAGACTACTCGTCTAACAACCAAACTGGTGACCTATGGTCGTATGTCGCATTTGTCGTGTTGGTCGTATTTGTCGTGTCGGTCGCATTATTCGTGTCTGTCGTATCTGTAGTGTCGGACGTGCCTATTGCAATATACCGGGCATAATTCCAAACTCCGTGCTACTTCTGATATTTTTTTTAATAACTTTGTAATATTTTGCCCGAACTGGGAATAAAATGAAACTAAAAAAATGAACTCGAGATCCGTAGCCTGGCGGGACTTGCGACCACTGCGCAAACGAGGCAATCTAGAATAGACTATCAACAACAGTGTACAATATTTAATTCCTATTATCTTCTCCATAGGAATGTACTCTTTGGAAACAGTTTAGAGAAGCTCAAGCATAGAAGTTTTTATTTTTTAACTAGTTGACCCGGCAAACTTTATTTTTCTCACCTTTGAAACCTTTCCTGGACTTCTATGAACATTTCAATACCAGAATTAGCCAACTCAGTTCAGTCGTTGAGTTTTAGCGAGCCTAACGGAAATTCATTTTTATTCATATAGATTAATTAAATTCTAAAAGTACCTTATCATTAGTCTAATGCCCGAATGCCAAAAGGATACAAAATTTTAAATTGTACACCTCTGTCATTTTATTTGTAGTGACAGAGCTATATTTAACCCGTTGAAAATCATCCGCAAAATTTGTTCATACAAAAGTAGTCCCTTAACTCAAATTGAGTGACATTTGAGTATTTCAGTGTTATTTACATAAATGATCCAACTTTGGTTACCTGGATATAGTAGGGTGTGCCATCATCACATCACAATTATTTAACCGTCCGAACACATAGAATGCTCTCTTTGTCAAATCCGTCTTGTCAACGATCATCCCGGACTTTAACACCTCCAGGGAATAGTCTGTACCTGTAAAATACATAATGATATTGTCAATGACAGGATCTCTACTGCTGAACATACCTCCGGCACTAAATTTCAGTTTGGCCAGTAAAGAGCCGATTTTTCAATCATCACTTAATTCTTAACTATTTTATTTTATTTTTAGCCATGATCATCCCACTTCAGGGCAAAGGCTTCCTTCGACTCATCTCTTATAGCTTTCTGTGGCCAATCCTTCTCATTGGCATCCAGTTCATCCCGCCATCTCCTTCTGTGCCTACTGCGACGTCTATTGACGTTGTGTGAGCTCCACTCACAGACATGACCAGCCCAGTTCCACTGTAAGCTTGCGGCTTTATGACCAACGTCAGCAATTTGAGTTTTGGACTGCAGTATGGAGTTTCTTATTCTGTCCATAATCAGACTCCTAAGATACTGCACTCCATTGCCCACATGCAAACCCTGAATGTGGACTTTTAATGTATTGTTAAAGGATGGGCAGAATACAAATGTCCATATGCTTCCTTTTCAGTTATAATGGAAGAGTGGCCCAGGTAGATGTATTTTTGGACATATGCAATTTCTGTTCTATCTACTTCTAACCTATGTTTCGAGCTGTTAGTCATTAGTTTGATCTTTGACATGTTCATCTTCACTCCAACCTCAAGGCTGGCTCCGCTGAGTTTGTTGATCATAGTTCTGATGCTGAAGAGAAGAAGACCATAATGTCATCAGCTAAATGGAGGTTTGTTAGCCTTTTCTCCCCGATGACTACACCTCACATGCTCCAGCATAGCACAAGCCTTTTAAATACCTCTTCTAGGGTTGCTTCTGCTTGACACGCATGAGGATTACCTTAATTCTTAACAATAGAATAAAATTCACATTTGACAGATGGAAGATTTGTGAAATATTCAAAGTTACTCCTCAGAATCCTCCAAACTCCTTAAATATCTGGCATTGGAAAAATCGGCTCTAAAGTTGAATAGACATAAAATTCTACAATGAGGTTCAATGTATAGTTCTATAGGTGATGAAAAATAGCCTGATACTCTCTAAATAGTAAACTTTCCGAAGAATGTTCAAATCAGTTCAGAAGTTATTGCAGCTAATACAAACAAACAATCAAATAGGTGCGCTTGCCCCCTCTGGCTGGATATATGGCTTTTATGTAAGGAAAAACACACTTATTCTTTAGATTGATGTAGAAGTTTATGTTCTTTATTAAAACCACATTGAAAGAGTCTTATATATGTATCGTAATAATAAGACCAGTCTGTTTTAGTTACATTTCATTTATAGTAAAGTCTAACAGGTCACTAGGCCGCTCTTTTCCACTCTTCGCAAGCCCTCCAAAAGACCTTGTGGTCCCGTGTGTGAAAAATTACTTCTAATACTTACCGTCAGGGCAAATTCCAGACCATTTTGGTTCCTTATAAGGTATTGGCATTGATAACACATCGTTTGCTACTATCATAGGCGAATCTTTCCCTCTTTCATTTGATCGCGATGTTTTCGAACTGTTTTGCTCCTGTTGTTGATTTTCATTGTCTGTCGCCTCTTCAGGATCATTCTTGACCTTTTTCGGCAGTTTTCCAATACGACCGAAGAGTACAGGCTTTTTAAACACGATTTTTTCTTCGGTATTCTGCTTATCACTTGGTTCCTCCATTTTTTAGGTTATATTTTTAATTTTTTATTCGTAAATACGCGCGATGACTTTAGTTTATAGATTACGAGCTAAACATAAGTATTAAGACTAATATTTCTATAATATTAGCAATAAATTACTGAAAACCTTATTATTTATCATTAGACGTAAACAAACTGGTTTACAATGTCAATAAAATTATTTACTAAAGCTAGTTGTTGAGCATAATGCTTGCTATCCTATTCTGTCACTTCGTAGACAAAGGAGACAACATGATAGTGTTTTTTAAATCTCCAGGAATACGAATGCTGTATGACTCATTTCAGCATTGAGTAGTTATTACTCATGCACGTTTGTTTATCTTTATCATATCAGTCAATCACATAAATACAGAAATAATTAGAGAAACACAAAGAAATAAGTTTGATTTGTAAAAGTATTACCGCTAACATAAACGCGTTAAAATGTTTAATTCGTTCTAACTATTTTGCTTTATCTGTGACTCGTTCGTTCAAATAACTCACGAATGAACTACTCCAATATGAATGGAACAACCAAATCAATCAATTCAAAAGAATTTCGTGACGATTGCCAACCGATCGAATAAACAATATTATAACGAACTCTCGATTTCGTAGTGTATATTGCTCAAACTGTGTTGCGTGCGTGTTTGTTTGTTCATTTTTTACACATCAGCTGTAAATATCACATGAGCAACTGTGTCGCGGTGACCATATTGTGTGCCTGTACTCGCGGACCCTCGCAACAAAGATCGTAACAATATTTACTTTTATCTAAACCTTATCGTAATTCAGGTTGTTTAAGTGATTTCATAGCATTGCTGACGTCCGTTCGCGCGTAATTAACTCAGGTAAGTGTAAAGTTAAGTTAGAAAAAACTATAAAAAGAATGTCAAAAACTTGTTCGTTTTTTTGTGGTGTATACCACATTAACAATTTTGAAGATAACAATCGAATTTGGCAACCGGTGAAAGTATATTTCACCGAAATTCTATCTTGTATAATGGTTCTATTGTTTTGATACATTTCTTTCGATTATTTCCCAAAGAATCGTGCCGTATCGCTGAAGGAAAGGTTTCGTTCTAGGAATTCTAAAACTGGTTTTTGTTTAGTCAGAATTTTATGTCAAAAGCTCTTAGAACAGTAATTCTATGTCAATGTCTGTGAAATATTGTGAAAGAGTAGTATTTGTTGGTTCAGAACTGCTATTAAAATTATTTAAAATGGTTAAGCTATCATTGGTTAGGTCAGCTTGAAGCATGGGTGGGTCAGAATCTAATTTGAATGATATCATATAAGAATTGACATCAAATCTAACATGAATGATAGAATAAACTTAATTATTACATTTTTTCCATAAATAAGACAAGCAAAATACTTATACTATAACAACACTTTTTTTTTATGGTATGAATAATAAAATGTTCCCTCATGGTTTTTGCCTAAATATCAAAAACAAATACATAAAATATTAATATCAGTTCAGTACTTTTTGAACCAGTTTGGTACAAACATACGTACATACATATGAATCTAAATCTAGTATAGTCAGAAACAGATTATAAAATTAAATAATTAACTGGTTAAATATTATTTTAATCTAGTAATGTTTGGTTTCGAAATTACTTCTTTACCTAGTTCTAAAATTACTGAAAATTAAGTTTATTCCAGTTTTGCAACTTGCCTAAAAAGGTAGTACATACATCTATCATTATCAACAGCCTATAAGTGTCCACTGATGAGCAAAGCCTATTCTCACACGAAGTAGGTTTGAGCATTAATCACCACATTCACTGCAGGTTGGCGTTTTCCAACGTACAATTAGAAATTATAACCCCAGGTTTCCTCACGATGTTTTCCTTAACCAATTGTCAGTGGTGTCTATTAATAATCTTAAAAAGTACATATAACTCGGAAAAAGTCACATTGGTACTTATCGTTGGTAGGTTCGGACCTGCACCCTCATGCGTGATAAGCAGGCGTCTTAACATCCAGGCCACTACGACATTAGTACATCTATATTTTGTCCTAATTACGGAGGTCAAAATATTACTAAATTACTATTATCCTTCCTTATATACCATTGTGTTATTACTTTATTATTGCTAAGTGCTAACTAGGTACTAAATTGTTTATAACAAGTGTAACTTAGGTTTTATTTGGTTTTTCGAAATTTCTGAGTAATTAATTTCAAGTGTGGGAGAGCCATGCTTCGGCACAAATGGGCCGGTTCGACCGGAGTCTCACTGAAAACCGACGTGAATCAACGCTTGCGTTGTGTTTCGTCATGTGAGTGAGGTTACAGGAGGCCCAATTACTCTCCCCTTTCCCAATCTCCCCAATTCCTTAATCCCCAACGATCCTAAAACTCCTAATCCCCAAAATGCCGGTAACGCATTTGTAACGCCTCTGGTGTTCCAGGTGTCCATTGGTGATGACAAGGTTGTCATCATCCCAATTATTGCTGTATAAAGAAAATAGATTTATTATGTGTTGATTGTTTTTGTTTAATATTTTACAAATGAAATAGTTTATTATTACGTTTTACCGCTTGTAGTAAATTAATAATTGCTTACGGTCCAGTGAATACAACTCTGATATTTATTTGTTATTTTGTTGATATAATGTTATGTAGGTGTAAATCTTTGACTAGTTCTGCTCGGTTCCTATCGGTCGTAGCGTGATGGTATGGAGCCAATACTCTTCCTCGATTAATGCACTAGTCAACACAAAAATAATTATTCAAATTGGACCAGTAGTTCTATAGATTAGCGCGTTCAGGCTATGAAACATCACGCTAGGATCAATAGGAGCTCAGCAGAGCGAGTGAAACCGCGCGGAAAGTAGCTAGTATTTAGATGAACATCACTATTGACTGCATAATATTGAATAAACTTTCTTTTTTATCAAAACACATTTAATTAAGCAATAAATATAATCTTCAAACGTATATTATATAAGATGATTTGAACGCTGAGTTACGTAAGAAATCAATTAAATAATACGTAAATTAATACCAAAATTAATAAACACAAACCGACAAGTGTTGTAAATAGCTTTCGTCTATGACTTTGTATGCATTTCTCATACCATTATCACTACATACTACATAGTATAAAACAAAGTCGCTATCCGCCGTCTGCCTGTCCCTATGTATGCTTAGGTCTTTAAAACTGCGCAACGGATTTTGATGCGGTTTTTTTTATTAGATAGAGTGATATAGGATATAAAACATCACACTGCGTTCAATCCAAGCCGAGCAGAGTGGGTGAAATCGCGTGGACATACGTAGTATCTAATTACATTTTACTAGCGACCCGCCCCGGCTTCGCACGGGTACAATATGCATGTAGTATACATATAAACCTTCCTTAAGAATCACTTTATCTATTAAAAAAAAAAAACAATATCAAAATCCGTTGCGTAGTTTTAAAGATCTAAGCATACATACGGCTCGAAGTGCAGGAGAAGGAACGGGGTGGTTTTTAGTCAGTAAGAGTCTGACACTCCCTCCCGTCTCACTCAGGCGGGAGCAGTCATTCAATGATTTTAGCCCTTAAGAAAAAAAAAGCATACATAGGGACAGACAGACGGCGGATAGCGACTTTGTTATAAACTACCTATGTAGTGATGTAACAGCTGTGTTTGCGGTATCGATAGATTCACGTGGCGGCTTATCTATATTACGAGTGATTGTAATTTCTATCAACTATCGAACTATAGACTATCTTTTACAATGAAAAACTATTATGAATCGTAGATAACAATCGTGTAACTATGTTTTCCAGGCTATAAGTACTCACTATCTGTAGTCTTTCTGCGTCCTGGTAGCCCGCAGGTTTAAGACGCCTGCTTCTCATGCATGAGGGTGCGGTTCGAAAACTACCAACGCCAAGTACTAATGTAACTTTTTCCGAGTTATATATACTTTCTAAGATTATTTAGACACCATTGACAAACGGCGAAGGAAAAACATTGTGAGGAAACCAGGGCTTGTAATTTCTAATTATAAGTTTGAAATCGCCAACCCGCATTGAGCAAGCGTGGTGATTAATGCTCTAATCTTCTCCGTGTGAGAAGAAGTTTTGCTCAGCAGTGGACTTACTTACTTTCTAAGATTATTTAGACATCGGTGACAGTCAAGGAAAACATCGTGAGGAAACCAGTGCCTTTAGCCAAACGCCACTTTAGCGCTTGTCTACAGAGAGAGTAGAAATCAAAATGTATGGGGATGACACTGACAAGTGTCAAAATTGACGTCAATTCGATATACCTAATTTAGTTTTCTACTCTACAAGTAGACAAGCGCTAAATGGCATTTGGCTACAGCTGCTGGGCTTATAATTTCTAATTACCTATAAGTTTCAAATCGCTAATCCGCATTGAGTGATTAATGCTCAAACCTTCTCCGTGTGAGAAGAGGCTTTATAGCTCAGCAGTGGCCACTTATAGGCTTATCATTATTTGTAGCACCTCTGGTGGCTCTGGTGTTGCAGGTTTCCAAAGGCGACGTCGGTTGCTCACCATTTGGTGATCCGTCTGCTCGTTTTCTGACCTATACCATAAAAATAATGTTTTCTTTTTTAAGTTTATTTAGTTAAACTGTCAACCACCGCGAGGACACCGGTGACCGCAACCTATTGTTCTTTAATTGTGTCTATAATAACGGTACTCAAAGAGTTAAATTTTACATAGGTAAATCTAAACTCGCCAAACTTTGACGTTTGATGGCGAGAGACGATTATTCAATTAAATTTATTTTTGTTAGCCTTTACTAGGGTTATCTCCTGTGTCGTGGGTGCGTTTACAAACATACAATTTCACGTACACATGACACCCAGACCTAGAACAACAACCTGTGGATCAAACAAATAGTTATTCCGTGCGGGAATCGAACCCGCGACACGTTGTGCGGCAGCCAGTTGCCCAGCCACTGCGCCAATCGTGCAGTCTTATTCTATTTATTACTATTCTAATATGTAGGTACAATATTGCATTTTA